GTCTTCATGGTGTTCATGCAGGGCATCGCCGCCGCCTCGCTGCTCCTGAGCCTGCTGGAGATCCTGCACCTGGCCTACAAGAAGCTGAGGAAGGGGCTTCTGGACTACTGTCCGCCGCCGAGAGGAACTCGCTGCTGCATCAGGGGCGTAAAGCCACTGTCCCAACGGTGGCCGGTGGATTCGCTCCGCTCCTGGAGAAACAGGGCAACGGACCCGTGTACCCCGCGCTCGTTAACCCCTCGTCTGCGTTCGTGCCCATCCAGGTGCGACAGCAGAACAAGGACATCGTTTCCAGTCTGCTGCAGCGCAACAGCAATTCCAACAACCCCTGCAGCGAGACTCGATCCCCAGCAGCGCAGACTCGGCTCCCGGTGGAGTCCCAGTGCTCTCTAACGGATCCGCGCAAGCAGCGGCGAAACTGCGGCACGGCGGCGGAAGGGAACGGCTCGGACAGCACAGACTCCAAGCCCAGCTCCGGCTCACGGCAGCACGGATCCGCAGGGAATCCCACCGACTCACCCAACAGACAACGAGCTTCACTAACGAGCGGCAGCAAACGAGCCGACAGCGACCTGCAGATCTGAGGCTCTGTGTGCCTCTCACAGGAATCAGCTTGGATCAAAGGGATGGCTCAGCCAAAAATGACCATTCTGTCATCATTTACTTGCCCTCATGACGTTCCAACTTCAGCCATGGACAAATGCAGCCCACGAGTTCCCCCGTGAATGTTTTGCTGGGTTATAGGGGCTTCATTTGGAGTAAATAAATAAATAAAACAGGACAATTATAGATATTACTGAATTCACAGCAAATGCAACAAACTTAATAATGCAGTTTTGTCCCATAGAAATGCACCTGACAGTAAAGCATTGACTTTGAGCTAGAATGCAGGAAATGTATTGCTGATCAATTCTGTCATCATTTCCTCAGCCTCCTGTGATTCCAAACCTGCATGACTTACTTTCTTCTGTGGAACACAAAAGATATGTTGTAGAATGTTACCAAACCATTTTGGTTACCCTTGATTTCTACTGTATGGACACAAATTTCTTGAATTTCTCAAATTATCTTCTTTCATGTTCCACAGAAGAAAGACATTCTTACAGGTTTGGAATGCCATGATGTTGAGTAAATGATGACAATTTAAATGTTTGGGTGAACTATCCCTTTAAGATCTTTAATATTTGTAAATAGTAAACATCTAATTTATATAAGACACTGCTATTTATATTTAATCATGCTCTTACTGAATTAACATTTTACTTAATTTAAAGTGAATTACAATAAACATCTAAAGAGAAAGAAGTTCTTGCTTAGAATTAGTATTAGTAAGATGGTAGTCAGAAGAAGTAAAAGCATCGTCCTCATTAACATGGTTATCCTATATGGATTTTAAACTAAACAATAAGTAATAATAAACTATGAAATTTATAAAAAAATAAATTAAAAAAAAACTTGAAACTACAAAAACATTTTATATAAAAGTAAAGTATTCCCCAATATTCCAATAATATAAGTAATAACAGTAACACTTATAATAAATACATTTCTGCCAGAACAACAGGCTGTTTGTACAGTGTTAGTAACTGCAAGTTAAATTGCTATGGTGCTGAATTGACTATTGTTTTACCTCGTGATGCAGTTTACCCTGTCGTGGCTGCATCACTACAAACCTGTAATGTTCTCATAGCACATAGTATTGTATTCAGCAGAAGTCAGTCAGTCATACAGGTTTGGAATGACATGTTAAAGATGACAGAATGATCTTTTTGGCTGAACTATCTCTGAACACAAGACTTGAAGCTTTATTTTCAGCCTGGACAGTCTAAATATTCAACGTTTAGAATGAGTCGTGGCTGCATGTTAATGGGTTTCATATTTATAGATGTTTATAGATGAAACCATCTGTAATTGACAGACATATCTTAGTATCTATATTGATGTGTATAGTGGCCTCTGCTGGTAAAGAAATAACATTTTTATTTATCTATAGAATTAAAAGCTCTTTATGATGTGATGTTTTAATGATATATATATATACCCTGACAGCTGTGAGATGATCAGTAAGATCAATCAGCAATGCATATAGCATACAGTCAGAGCACCAAATACATACTGTCGTCCACCAACATAATATAGCTGAGTGCAAAAAATAAAAAATGCTATCTTGCAGATTCTGTGATTTTATACAAACCTGCACACTAAACTATGTGTATTAAAGCAAAGATACAAAGATGGGGATTATTTCCCACAATCCAGTGCTAATCATGAGATGTCAGCCAACTGACAATTAATTTGATCAATTCCTTGCACTATTTTATTTTACGTTTCCAAAAAGAACAGAAAATTATGTCATGCACTTTAAGCAATATAAAATATAACTGTTAGACCTGCATTAATGATTGACTTATTCCTGCTTGAGTAGTCTTGGGTGAATAGAAGGCTCAATGGGACTACTGTGATAGCTTACCTCTAAGAAACTTGCTGTGCATTTTTTATAATAAAAAAGCCCCAATACTTTATATTAAAGCACCATGGTCTAAATTAAAGTCTTGTTTTAGCGTGGTCTGCAAGTGTACAACTTATGTTAAACAGAGCTATAGTTTGTAGTTTTATAAATCACTAAACATCAGGAGAAGAGAAATGCTTTTATTAAATATCAGGCACAATTTGGCTGAACAACAAAAAAATTCACCTCTTATACATGTATTACAAAACGAACTGAAAGACTTCCACTGATGTGAAGAAATGTGTGAAACTGAAGTGGTGTGTAGTTATTCTGTTCCGCCGCCCTGCAGCAGCTGTAATTCACACAAACACAACCCACATGTGATCACAGCACGGTTTATACGAGTCCGACTGAAGCGCTGTAGTAGTGTGTGTGGGTAATATCTCACCCGGCTCCTCAGCTCTTTGTTCTCCTCCATCAGCTGATCATATTTCTGCTGTAAAGTGTTCAGCTCGAGCCGCAGACTCTCGGCATCTTCTGCATAACCTGGGTTAGTGAAGGTTAGGTTAACATGCCGTGACGCTGAAATGGTGCCAGAGCTGAGATCTTCCACTGAGCGAACCGCGTAAATGACCACAATTACTCACAGTGAGATTTATACATCATCTGAAAATCTGGAATCTGAGGGTGCAAAAAAATCTAAATATTGAGAAAATCATCTTTAAAGTTGTCCAAATGAAGTTCTTAGCAATGCATATTGCTAATCAAAAATGAAGTTTTGATATATTTACAGTAGGAAATTTACAAAATATCTTCATGGAACATGATCTTTACTTAATATCCTAATGATTTTTGGCATAAAAGAGAAATGTATAATTTTGACCCATACAATGTATTGTTGGCTATTGCTACAAATATACCCCAGCGACTTAAGACTGCTTTTGTGCTCCAGGGACACATATAAGAGAGATCTAGTTTTGTTTTGCATCAAACATGACCGTGTTTCATGGCCTCTGCAACTTGAGGTCTAGAAGTGCAGTTTCACTAGTGAACAAAGAGTCGACTGTCGATCATCAATAGTGCAGAAATCACCTGTCGGTCAGCGCAGTGAACCCGTGTCAAATCTTTACATCACGTGAATTCCTACAGTGTTTTGGCCCAGCAGTGGTAATGTGACCCCTCTTTCCCCTGCTTTCACAGACACGTCAGTGCCATTGTTCTGTCTCACGATGCACACCTGTAACTTTTCATCTAAGGCATTTTCATAAAAGCTGCTTAATAATATTTAACTAAGGCCTAGTCCTGGCTTAAACAAAGCCACTTCTGTGAAACCGGGCCTTCAAGGGTTAGTTAACCCAAACATGAAATGGCCAATGCATGGCCATCAGCATAAAGTTAGGTAAAGATGCAGCAGTGTCACAGAATGAGCCCATGTGACACGAGTCGTATATTCCCAGCGTTCTGCTGTGTGTGACAGGATTTGGTCAAAAACAAACTGGAATGTAATGCATTATTTAACAAATATCCTGCCGTTGGTTTCTGTAAATCAGTGCTTCTCCCAAAGCACCGCACATTTAACACAGCCAGGTCACGTCTGTACTAACGAGCTGATGAGTTTAATCAGGTGTTAAACGAGGAGACATAAAACATGCTGTGGTTTGAGCCCAGGACAGGTTTGAGAAGCACTAAACCAGATTTAGAAAAGAAATCCCTTAATTCACAAAAAGGTTTTTATGCTCGCCTGAGGTGGTTTTTGACTTGTGTGAAAAAGGGTTAATGTGAATAATGGGAGATGGAAACACATTTTACGAATAAATTCTGCACGAGCGTTCAAGTGATGTGACTGTGCGCTATGGGACGGCATAACCTGACTAACCAGCGGACCGATCTCGATCCAAAGCATCTGAAATGTTATGATCCTTCTGAAACGCCCGAGCAAAGTCTGTCGTCAGAGTGTTTCTGTGTTCTGTTCTTTCTTACACGACTGCGTTCCCAAACAGCAGCATCTGAAAGCAATGACCGCAGTTATTGTGTTTCGTCTGCTCGCTCTGAGGCGCAAGTCATTTATTATATATGAAAATTATTATATTCAGTGGCTTCTCCTACTTTCTTAGTGATATTTAGTGGCAGTTTATCAGGAAGTGACGATTTTGTTCTCTCTGACTCGTTGGATTGAAATGGTGCTTATTTGCAAATGTTTTATGCGATATTCCAATTTTGTGCAAAAGTTAAATTCGCATCTTAGGATGGAAACCCGGCTATAGCCTAGAAACCACTTCACTAAGATGAACATCTCTGGAGCAGGACTCAGAACGACAATAACTTGTGACAAATAACCCAGTGGGCAATACATGCTAAAGAGACATCAAACATCGAGGTCAAATATGCAAATCAAACATTAAATGAACACACTGGCCTATATACACATTAAACCAGATTCAGAGTGGGATTCACTGCCTGTCCAAACTTAATTAAAAACATGTTTCAGCATCTTGATCAACCTCAAGAGAAGAAAGTAGATGAATTCTATTGTGTTGTTTTTCAACCTGATTTCACGCAACTTGCGTGCTTTTTCGGGCCAGCCAGATGAACTGCTGTGCTAATAAGAGTTTCATGAAGCAAGGGCAGGATTTTAGTTAAAAAATATATTCATGTCATTTCAGCGAGCCCTACTGTATTCCCCCAGAACACACGCGATCATTGCCTGATACTTCTGCGTCTCTTTATGAAAGCTTCACACCGGTCTCTATTCACTGCCATCATACGGACGAGTGCGAGGTTTCTCTACATTTCTCCTGAAACAGACAGAAGTAAACTGGCTTTGGCTCTGTGTGAGCAGCAGTGTGAGGATACTCCGAGGCATTGCTGGGTTTCTCGGGTTCCTCGCACAGAGCCACCAGAAGATGAAGTCAGCCACACAGAAGAGCAGATGTTCGGTGGATTGATCTGGTGTTCTCCAGATACCTACTGAACTGCTCCTGTCCAGAAGAGTTTACTCTCCTCTTCAACCTGCTGCTCATGACATGATGCTCACGAGAGAACACTAAATCACACTTAAAAGAGTCGGAAGGTCATTTCATTAGATTACAATATACCAAGTGTCACGAATGTTAGGAAAAAATAAAATAATATTTTGTTGAAGATGAAGACGTCAGTTTGTGTTAGTTACTTAGTGGTTGCTCTGCTAGTTAATGTGTTTCTCTACACCTGTGTGAACTGATTCAAACATTCAGACATCACGAAGAAAAGCGAAGTTCGAGCAGATTCAGACACATTTACACGATATAAAAAGGCTTTTAAAAGCTAAACACATCTCATTTATTCTCTACCGCGCTTTATACAACACGGCTTCACAGAAACAAACTCGTCAATAACAGCGTTTCAGAGATCAGCAGTAATGAACATCTCGAGTTTAATCGGTGTGTGTGTGTGTGTTTGTTTACTCACTGTGTAATGCGCCATTGCGAACGACACAGTCACCAAATGTTTGATTCGCCGAGTGACTCTCCCGCGCGCATGCGCCGAGCAGAACCGGAACACAAACACGGTCGCCGGGGCAACGCTTAAAGGGGCCGCGGCGTCAGGAGACAGTGGCTGCGTCCGAAACCGCCTACACAATGAGTAGCCTACTTACTTAACGAGCGCTAGAAGAGTAGGTACTCTACAGCCAAATCTCGTTAAGTATGAATGCGATCCAGACGTCATCCGCCATGTTGACGTTATCATGTGATCTACGACGTTACAAGCACAACAACTTAAAAGATACGAGCGGCAGGTTTAATTGATGTTTATGAAATTTGCTCATTTTGTGATCTTGTTGAAGAAACAGCTGCCCTTTTATTGTGATTGTAGTATAACCAATACATTTTGGGTTGATTTAAATTTTTATATTTTTAACCCTACTAATATGACCCCCAGTTTAATCCTTAAATATATTATTATTTATTACTAAAACCCAAAATCGTTATCTCTTGAATATGTTGTTTCTTTATTTTATGTGCAAAATGTTTCATCCATAAGCAAAACCGGCTTAAATCTCCTTTATTTTCGTATTTTTCTTGTTGAATTTCTCTCTTGTTTCATCCCTCTGGCTTATAAACAACAACAACAACAAATGCAATATTTTGATGCATTGATTATATGAATATTATGATTAAAGATATTTAACCTTGTCATTGTGCCTCTTTTTCTGTGTATATAATCTCATACTATGATGTATGCAAACCCATTGTATTTGTTTTCTGCTGTTTGTCATTATGATTGTTCATTGTTAAAGATACTACCATCTTTCCCTCAGCTTGTATGTAATTATAAGTTCTGCAGTAACAATAATAAAAAAGAACATAAGATCGACAGGTGCACGAACACCTCATACCATCAGTAACTCCACAACCCTACCTAGTACGGTTTTCCTCAGCGTTTGCAATATGTGTAATATCTGCACGAAGGAGACGTCGATCAGCTGCTAGAAGATAGAAGATCTGGAGAAGACTGTTAATTTTACACTCGAAAAATGTATTACTACTTAAAAATTAAGATTAACGATTAACCCATTGCTAGCCCACCCCAACACTTATGAACAATAATGATAAATGCCAATAATTAATTCGATTTTTTTAGTAAAACAAGCAAAATGTAATTGTTTTTTTCATATGCCACAGCTATGCATGACACACTAGACAAATGCAAACAAGGTGAATACATCTCATTTTTCAGTCAAGTAATGAATTAATGCATAAGTTAATAAAACAATTATGTTTTATTTACTCTCAACAACAGGAAACATGAATAAATGAGTAAAAGAATAAATAAAAGTAACCAATGTAATAAATAAATAAGTCAACGACACATGAAACAAAGCTTTTTTCAAACATATTGTTCTAAAAAATCATGTATTTACAGACGGTGAACCCACATCCTACTGCCATCTCAGCTGTGCCAATTCTGCAGCTTTAATCTGATGAAGCAACTGACCACTGTGCACACTTTCGCCTGTCTTTGCCATCCATCACATCCCTTGTTGCTGCAATCAGACTGGAATCTGATCCTGGATGGGAAACGGACATCGAGGCTGTCCTTGCCTGAGTGCATGGAGAGGATGAGGAAGACGATGATGACGCCCCCCTGAACCACACAACCTTGAAGCAAGAGAAGGAGAACATGAATGGGACTATCTGGCTGTCGCTCCGACTGCTCCAAACATTCATGTGCCTGCTCTCCATGTGTAACAGATCGGCCAGGCTCCAACACCACCCAATCACAACGATCTCTATCACCTGAGTACTGAGCACCTGCACCTGTCACCAATCAAGCACCTCATCAACCAGCCTGCATAAAAGCACACACCTCAGACACCCTCATTGTCCGGTCTCGTACACGTGTAGAGGACTCTCTGACTTTACTACTGCTTCTGTTTGAATACTTCCTGCATTACTTACCTCCTGTGTTCCTCCTAGTGTCTCCAAGTGTCTCCTGTTCCTCCTAGTTCCTGGATTGCTGAGGTGTGTGCATTCCAGCTCCTGTAAAGGAAAGGACTCTGATCATTCCACTCATCATATCCTTTAAACTGTTCTACGAACTATACACTCACCGTGTCATCACCTGGATCCTACACCCGTACTCTCTGTGACCAAATAAACTTGATTGATATACTAACCTGTTGCGTCAGACCTCTTCCGTTACA